AGAGTTTCCGAGAAGCAGCTGGTAGGTTAGCAGTTCAGTGCTTATCCTACCGAGTCACACCAGTTATGGCCCCTCCATCTAAAGCCCTGGGGGCACAACTGTTAACCGCTCAGCTGCTAACCAAATGGCTGGCTATGTGAACCACCCACAGGAGAGAGGGCTGTCAATCTGTGCCCAGAAATGACGGCGGAAGAAACTCTATTCTGTCACATGAAGTCACTATGAATCGGAATAGATGTGACATGCCCCCCACTCTCACTCCCTTGTTGTTGTTGTTATGTGCTGTCGAGTTGCTTCCGACCCACAGCGACCCTGCACAGGGTTTCCGAGGCTGTAAATCTTTACAGGAGCAGAACACCTCATCTTCCTCCCGCAGAGCAGCTGGTCGTTTCGAACTGCTGACCTTGCGGTTCGCAGCCCAATTTGTAACCACTATGCTACCAGAGCTCCTTTACCTTTTATTTTTAATTTCCTTATCTGTCTGTCTCCCACTCTAGAATGGAAGCGCCAACAAGTTTTTGAGTCTTGTCTGATGCATTCTCAACACCTAGACATGTCCAGCAAAGACACTCAGTCAATATTGACTGTGTCAATGAATGAATGAGTTAGTGAACGAATGAATGACTCACAAGCTCCTCCCGGAGACTCCTCCCATCATAATCTCTGTGCTCCTTCAGCCTGCTCTACTTCCCCTTTGTAGCTCTTAGCAAACGGGGAGTCAGATGACATTCCTGTGTCTAATTCCTTGGGCCACAGAAATAGCCGAATAATCACAACTAATCTATTAAAGCCGGTTGCCATTGAGTTGATTCCAACTCATGGTGACCTTTATGCTCCCCAGGGTTTTCAGTGACTGAAGTTCTGAAAGTAGATTGCCATGTCTTTCTTCTTAGGCACTGCTGGGTGGACTTGCACCACCAACCTTTTGGTTAACAGCTGTTTTGTTTGTACCCTTCCCCCAAGGACCCAGATATTTATCAAGAACTTCTTATATGCCAGGCATTGTTCCAGGCCCTTACACCGTGTCACTTTGTTCTCACAACAACCCCATATTGTTCTTAGGTGCTGTTGAGTTGGTTCCAACTCCTTATAACACTTATAACAGAAGGAAACAGTGCCGGTCCTGCGCCGTCCTCACAAGAATCGCCATCTATGAATGAGCCCATAGTTGTAGCCACTGGATCAAACCAGCTCATTGTCTTTTTATTCACTGACTTTTTTTTTTTGTCAATGACTTAATTTTGCTTGGATCCACTATCAAAACTAATGTTAACAGCAGTCAAGAAATCAAACGACGTATTGCATTAGGCAAATCTGCTGCACAAGACCTCTTTAAAGTGTTGAAGAGCAAAGATGTCAGCTTGAGGACTAAGGTGCACCTGATCCAAGCCATGGTATTTTCAGTAACCTCATATGCATGTGAAAGCTGGACAATGAATAAGGAAGACTGTAGAAGAATTGCATTTGAGTTATGGTGTTGAAGGAGAATATTGAAAATACCATAGAAAGGACTGCCAAAAGCACAAACAGCTCTGTGTGGAAAGTAGTACAGCCAGAGGGCTTCAGACATATTATCAGGAGGGATCAGTCCCCAGAGAAGGATCTTGTGATTGGTAAAGTGGAGGGTTAGCAAAAACGTGATGGATTGGCACAGTGGCAGCAATTGGCTCAAGCTTAACGATGGTGAGGATGGCACAGGACCAGGCAGTGTTTCATCCTGTTATACACTGGGTCGTTATGAACTCTACGAACTGACTGGATAGCATCTAAAAAACCTTTTCCAGGCATGATATTCTTCTCTAGGGAGTGGTCCCTCCTGACAACATGCCCAAAGTACGTGAGATGAAGTTTTGTCCTCCTCACATCTAAGGGCATTCTGGCTATACTCTTTCCAAGGCAAATTTGTTTGTCCCTCTGGCAGCTCTGGTATCTGTGGTATTTTTTGTCAGTTCCATACATAATTGAAACACATCACTTCTTTGTGGTCTCCTGTATTCATTGTCACGAAGAACTCGCTATGTGCTGGTATTCTTCCATGTTTTCTCCATATCTCACCACCACCCCATGAGACACGTTCTACTGAGACCCATTTTACAGAGTCAGCGAGTGGCTTGTCCAAGGCCGCACTGTGGACAGTGTTCCCTTACCCACCTTACCACGCTGCTTCCTTGATTCCCAGAACACAACCTGGCACAGAACCCGTACAGAGTCAAAGTGTGCTGGGCCAAACATTTGTAGTCTACACTATCTGGAAAATCCAGACCTCATCATCACCACACTTACAGCACAAACTCCACAGCACATCATTCCCTAGAATGATCCCCGTGCACGAGTCACTCCTGCAAACTGCAAACCCAGGAACGCCTGATGGCAGATTGGCCCCCGGCCCCGACTGTCCTCTCGTGCTGTGCTTCCTTGGGAAAGTTACCTCCCCTCTCTGGGTCCAGTAAAAGAGGCAGGAGTAGAATGAGAGGATCTTTGGAATTGTCCCGGGAGCCCTTGGCATTGTGTGGTTCTTCAGCGGCTACTGGGGTGGGAGGTTTGGAGGATGATAGTGGGTAGGCCCAGGACCCTGGGGTCCCACTGCCACGTTACCATAGCAGCTTTGCCATGTCCATGTCCTCTCTGTGCTTGGGTGGTCTTCATCCATAGTGGGCGGTTTATGAGTGGAAGAAAGTCTCTCTGGCAAACCCCACCCGGCTGGTTGTATCTGAATAAACCTTTGCGGAACCTTAACATGTGCACAGACCCAGGTCCCATCCTTAGTAAACTCTTTCATGACAGGTGTGTAAACATGGTCCTCAGTATGGTTTGTGGTTGCAATAGGGCCAGGCCTCGGTTTGTTCTCCCTCAAAGCTTCCCACAATCCTGTACCAAGGGAGGTCTAAAAGACCACCTGAGACCGGGGCTAGCCGCTGCAGCTCCCAGCTCTCTGCAGGGACTCGCCCAGTGGTCTGAGAAGCATGCGCATACATGGGGCTGAGGCCGGGGGTGTATGGGGCAGAAATCCCCTGTGGACCGAGGGTCAGAGCAGGAGCAGGCTGGGTTCCTGTTCCTTCCGGTGCCTGCAGAGGTAGACATGGGGGCGGGGATACAACCCCGACACCTCCCGCACATGCAACGCTGCTGCCACCTTGCGGCCGTCATGGGACACAGGCTCTGAATTGGGTCAGAGTTCCCATATCCAAGTCAGCGGGTCTCCAGCCACCCCAGAGAGGAGCTGAGCCCAGTCCGGGCCTAACCCCACCCTCCTTCAGGGGCAGCAGTTCACATCCGGGTGGAGAGGGGCATATAATAGGCGCCGTGTCCCTGTTCCGAACACAGTCCGGGCTGGGGGGGGCAGAGACTGTCCGGGCTGGGGGCAGAGACTGTCCTGGAGGCTGTATGGAGGCTGAGCTGGGGGCCCTGAAGTTCCCTCAGAGATGGGTGTACAGAGCAGAGGCCAGTCTGGAGTTGGGTGTGCGTGGGGTGCAATGGGGGCCAACAATAGTAACAGATGGAGCAACAGCCCAACTCTAGGAGGGAGGGATGTCATCCCTGTATAACTAGTGAGGAAACAGAGAAGTAATCAGCCCGAGGCTGAAGGCCAACAGTGCAGGTGGGGATGTGTGAGGTCAGCACCAGGCTGAGTGACGCTGGGGGGCGCTGCAAGCTCTGCCTGGAGGCGGCTTCGCAGGCTGGTTCCCTAGCCTCCTCCTACCATGCCCCTGCACCTGTGGGTCCCCTTTCTGGAGCAGCTGGGTCTAGAGAAGGTCCCTTCCAGGGCCCACCCCTTTCCTGACATTCAAAGCTCCCTGTGGCCAGGTTCCACCTGACCTCCCAGCCCTGGTCCTGCCTCGGAGAGGGCCTGCAGGCACACTCGGTATGCCCAGTTACCTTTCAAGCCTGGCTGGTCACCAAGCCCTGCGGTCCAATATCCCCTGTGCCTACCCTAAGGGCTTTCCTGGAGGCTGAGGCTGCGTCGTGGCTGGAAGCCCAGACCACCTCTGGCTGGTGCCCCTCCACGCTCCCTGGAGCCAGGCCCCTTTGGGCCCAGGCATTCAGACTTCTTGTGCCCACCTTCCCAGCAGGTCACAGGTTTCAGGCCCACACCAGTTTGAGCAGAGCCTCCCAGCGGAAAAACTTCAAACTCGCTGCCTGCCCTCTGCATGGAGTCCCAACACTGCCGTGTGAGAAGGGCTAGGGGAAGTGCCAAGTCTAAGAAACACACGCACTGTCCCCTCCTCCCACAGGACCAGGCACTGGGGCTCTGGACTTCACACTGAGATGTCAGAGGGGCTGAGCTGACCGCTCCATCCACAGACAGAAAGTAGTCCCTGCTCTGCATGAGGCCAAGAAGTCACTTCTCTCATGGAGACTGAACACCGCTGTGGCCAGCAGGCTGGTTTTCTAACTTTTAATTGAGGAGACACAAGGCACCTCTCCCAGGACGGGGGACCAAGAGCATGTGGACCCCAGTGCCTGGTGGAGGCTTGTCTTGGGAGGAACAGAGAAAAGATGGATGAAAGAGGCAGTGGAGGCGGCGGTGGGGCCGAAGGTGCTTCCAGCTTCCTTGACATCTGTGTGCAGCCGGGGTTGGTCTGGACTCGTCCCCAGTACTTGCAGCCTCGTAGTAGCTGAGTGGCAGGCAGCTCCCAAGGTGGCCACCACACTGCGCCCTTACTGACCAACCAGAGCCACAGGGCCCCTGGAAACAGGGCCCCAGACAGTTCCTGCTCACGAAGGGGTCACCCAGGACACACGGAGTCACATCAGAGCACCCCACGCAGCCAGCATGTCACGAGGCTCCCCAGTCCTCAGCAAAGTTGTAGTGGTAGGTCGGGTCGGGGATGGAGGCAGGGGTGACCAGGTTCCCGATTCATCCAGCTGTCTCCTCACCCCTCTGGCAGCATGGCCTGGCTCCAATGGAGAGAGGAGGGAACAGGTACCCCCAAAGCAGCCTAAACACCAAAGGAGAGAAGAGAGACCCCAGCAGCAGGGGGTGGGAGGCAGCCTCCCACTCATAAAGCAAACAGCATATCATCATCTTTCTCCTGAGCCTTCTTCTTCCGAGGGGCAGCACCAGGAGATGGTCCCGGGGGACCCTCGGCTGAGGGGCTGGAGAGGTTGGGCAACCGATCAGCAGCCTTGGCTCGTTCTTCCAGGAACTTGTCGAATTCTAGAGAAAGACAGACGGTGGTGTGGGCTATGGGCCAGGGCCTGAGGTGGGCAGTGGGCAGGGCCAGGGGACTACTACCTTCACTGGTGACGCCCTTTGCCTCTTCAGCGTTGTTCCCCTGAGGAGCAGAGAGGAGGGGGTGGGGTAGGGCAGTTGGGGTGACGGCCCAGCCCCTCACCACTCCCTTTGCCTTGGTGACTGGTATGTCATTTCCTGAGAGGATTTTCTCTTTAATAAAATGGTGGGGGGAGGGGTGACCCTGACTTGACGGGGTGCTGGTAAGTTTAAATGGGGTAATTCATGCAAAGTGCCAAGTGGGGGACAGAGGGGCGCCCCATGATGGACAC